CCTTTCTTGGGTGGTATGCTTTTTTAAACTCAAACAAAATAAGCTACTTCTAGGGTTATTATTGTTCAATCTACTTATTTGTTTAGGCTCGTTCTTGATACTGTTACTTTTTGTTCATCTCCTAGTCTCTACTTGGAATAATATACTTCATTTGCCTTGATTAAGAATGTCTCTACCACGACAAGACTTGTTCCAATTACATTTGGGGTCGTTGTTAATCTATAGCAATCTTCCTCCCTTAATCGAACTTGGGAAGACTGAAGAATATAGGCGGAGTTTCTTGTTTACCTCGCATATAAACAAAATTATCCACAAATCCTTGAAATCTGAAAATTCTGATGGGACTGTGGGTCTACCTGGTGACTTTTTCGTCTCTCTCTTACTTTTTCCAACCTTATCACAGACTTGAATTGAATGGAAGCAAGAAAAATCCTTGATCAAGCTGTATTCTTTATTTAATCTTTTCGCTTTTAGGTAGAAATGTCAACAAGGTTGGGGCCTCCCTCCGTGATCATCTTTTATATTCAAACCAAGACAGTTGGCTATTGCTTTTTTGGTTAATGCGTATCTGGCTTGCCTTCATAGTATCCATTGTGGTTTTATCATCAGCTTAATACGAGGAAAACTTTACAGACAGATAAATTAAGGATTTTCCTTGTTGTGATGATGCAGGAGCTGGGGAATAATTTCCTTAATTATAGCCTACTTATGGCAGTTATACACATTGTGGATTCTTGTTCAGCTACACAAATCTGCACATTGCACAACATATTCTGCAGTTGGACTCCTATAGCAAATTTGAAACATTAGAGGTTAGAGGAAGAGTGATAACCTCGGTTTCAGCTGGAATGTAGTATCCTCCTACTTGTGTATCTTCGTGAACATATCTAAGAGGAACTATAGGAGCAGGACTGTGCTTTCTCAAAGTTTCATGAAAAACAGCAGACAAGTACGGAAGTTGGATTAACTTTTCCTCTGTGATTTTTTCATATCCACAGACATTTTGAATCTCCATATAAAGACGATCCTGTTTTATTAAAAGGGAATCACCATTAGATAGATTGTAAATAAACTACAGCAATGGCATACAGGCACATTGCATGAGGGTGATCAAACCACCTGTCTCTCTGGATCTTTTGCAAGTTCATACATGGCCCATTCTGTGGTGAGTAAAGTGGTGTCTGATGTTTCAATTATGGCTT